GTACACTAGTTGCTGAGCTATGTCTCCCTCCCTAACTAGTACTGCACTGGTTGAGAAATCCAAGATAACTAAATAAAGAGTAAGCACTTCTCCTTATAAGGGGCTTACCAGGACAGGGGGAGAACTTTAGTACTCCTTTAGTGCTTTGAACGCTTCCTCACACCGGGTGTCCCACTGAAAAACCTTATTTAAGACCTGAAAGAAAGGTTGGCACTTGTCACTTGATTTGGATACAAAACGATTCAAGGTGGCTATCCTTCCTATCAGGCGTTGAATCTCCCTGATGAGTCTACCTCTCTAATGGCTTTGGCGTGGAAAAGTTTACTGACCTCCTCGTTAATTACCTTCTAACGTTTTGGAGCAAAACTTCTCCGCTTCTGTTTAACAGGTTTGTAAATAGGATTCATGCTTAGCTTGTGTGTGATGACTGATGGGTCAATGCCTTCCATGTTCTCTTGCTTCCAATCGAACACCCTCATGTTCTTCCTTAGGAATTGGGTGAGTAGGTCTTTCATTTTTTTGCTCAACTTAGATCCCACGTAAACAATATTATCAGGCTTCTCATCAAGCTAGACTGGCTCTAGCTTTTCTGATGGTATGAGCCTACTGTCCAGCTCGTCCCTCATGTCAAGCTCATCTAACTGGATAGTTTCAACCTCTTTTCTACTTCACCGAGGCCATGTAGCACTCCCTGGCTATTCGCAAGTCTCCTCGGACCATTCCAACTCCATTTTCTGTAGAAAATTTTACGACCAGGTGATATGCTGAAGGGATAGCCTTCATTGCGTTGAGGGATGGTCTCCCAAGTAGTATATTGTACGCAAAGGGATATCAACTACTAGTAATTTCACAATGGTGGTGGCTTAACAAGGAGGGTCCCCCATAGTGAGCACGAGTTAGATGGATCCCAAGGGTAGCACCCTTTCTCCTGAGAACCCCATAAAGTGAGCACTCACTGGCTCAAGCTTCATCCTTTCTATGCCCATTTTGTCAAAGATAGAGGCGAAAATGATGTCGGTCGAGCTCCCATTGTCAATTAGAACTTGTTGAACAGTTTGTTTAGCCACAATGGCCCTTACGACCAACGGGTCATCATGGGGATACTGACAGCCTTCCAAGTCTAAATCCAAAAAAGTAATGATTGTGCTTAGTCGAGGTATTTTGGACACGGTGTGTACTTCCAGCACTTTGCCAGCTCTGATCCTACGCAGGTGTACTTTCCTGGCTGCACTGGATTCCCCACCGCTAGCAAATCCTCCAGATATCACTCTAATCTCCCCTAAGGGTTATTGGTGCTGTGCAGGGGCTTGTTACTGGGGGTGCAGGTGGTGGTGGAGCCCTATTCTAGTTGTCATGGGCGACAAATCGTCATAATTGTCCCCTCTGGATCAAGAACTCGATCTCCTTCTTTAGGTGAATGTAATCGTTGGTATGATGACCATGATCCCTATGATACTCGCAATATTTCGTAGGGTCTCTTTTAGACGGATCTGCCTTCATTCGTGGAGGCCACCTTAGGAATTTTTCGTTCTGCACCTCATATAGGATCTGGGACACTGTCACAGTGAGAGGGGTATATTGCTGAAGTGCATACCTCGGCTGTAGTTCAGGCTGTGGGGGGGCTAAGCGGTCCCTAACGTTCCCCCTTTTTTTTTGGGGATCGCTTTTTATCTCTTCTGGGAGATCTATCTCTCTTTGGAGATCTGTTTCTTTCCCTCTCTCTCCTAGGACTTCAGTTCCTTTTTTTCTCTTCCTTTCCCTTGTCTCTATGTACGGAAAAGCTCCCTACCTTAGAAAGAAGAACTTCTTCGTTGTTTATGTATTTCTCCGCTTTGGCAAGCACCTTGGCCATGCTTGCTTGAGAATTTTTTGATATGAAGAACATCAAATCTTTAGAATGCACCCCTAGACCAGCTATGAAGGCAGTGATGATGAACTTTTCGTCTAAGACATCCACATTTAACGACTTCAAATTAAATCTTTGGACATATGACCTGAGATTTTCTTGTGGTCCCTGTTTTCACATTCAAAAGGTGATAACTTGACTTTCTATAGGTTCGAGCCCCTATGAAGTGGGATACGAAGAAAATGGAAAACTCTTTGAAGGAAAAGATTGAGGCTGGGGGGAGCCTGTTAAACCACGCCAAGGCTGAACCCTTCAAAGTGATGGCAAAGGCTCGACAATGTACGAGGTCCTAGTACCCGTGCAATTCCATCTGATTCTTGTAAGTATTGAGGTGGTCCATGAGTTCCCTGGTTCCATTAAAAGACTCTATCTGTGGCATCTTGAACTTTGGTGGGAGGGGAAAATGCAACACCCTAGGCGTGAATGGAGATTCAGTCTGTTGCACCAAGACGTCCATTGTAACTGGAGCTTTACTTCTGACAGCTTCCTTCATGTGGCTAAGCTCCTGTTGGATGCCCTTAAAGCGTTGCTCCCAATATTGCTCCTTTCTCTCCTACTGATAAGGAAAAACATCATTCTTTTCATCTTCATGGTTTTGACTTTGTACTTCCTCATTGTGGCCGTTCCTAGGGGGTAATTAGGGAACTTGCCCTAAAGTTTAGCTATTCTCCCCTCCTTCGTTGTCTTCTCTAAGTGAATCAAGGTGTTGTTGATCCCTGTAATGGAGACTGTTCTGACCTTCTTGGGGCGGTCGTGCCTCCTGTGGGCACTGTAAGAGCTTCTCGTTTTGCTTTATCAAGCGCTGATTGACGAGGCGAAGGGCCTCTATCTCGTTGTTTGTGGGGGGATTCCTCGTGGGAGGATTAGTTTCTAGGACGTTCTCAGGCTGTCTGCCATTGGTGGCTCCCTGTTGGTCCTGCATCCAAGATGGGTTTGTTTGGCTTCTGTTTATGTTTTATGTTGACACTATCAGTCACTAAAAGATCAGCTTTTTTGTAACAGGAATAGTCGTTCCCACAGATGGCGCCAAACTGATGGTGTAGACTAATGTGAGTGAACAGAGTGCGTGGGCCCAACAGTGAAGTTAGGCTGCCAACTTCGTAATGGTAGTGATGAAGTGTTTCTTAGGGGATAGAGGAATTTGCACAATAGGAATATAATGGTTCACCGGCTCGGGAGCTCGGTTAATCCACTCTCAAATGGAGGTTCTTGCTCCTTTTCTTCTCTATTGATTATTTGAATGTAATACAAGATAATGCATAATCCAATTAACGTTCTTCTTTTGCTTTCCCTCTCAATGAGACGTTACATAGTATTTATAAGGCTGCCCCCTCTTTTGTGGGATTTCAATCGAGATCTTTGCCTATTATTCATGAGATTCTTCTTGATTTTAAGAGAGAATCTTGGTTGATTGAGAGTTTCATGCATGTGGTCCAATTTTCGCAGTCATCCAACTATTTTCTAGTCGATTCTGCTACGATCTCCCTGAGGGGAGCTCCACCATGATTCTCTGAGTTTCTCGTATTTTTCCTGACCTCCTGACCTGAGCTCACAATTAAGACTTGTTTAAGGTATTATCAATAATAGACCCCAATTATTAGATTGGGCAAACTTTTACCCTCTCTATTTTCTCACACTTCTTTGGACTAACAACCTGTTCACCTCGGCCATACTTGTGTCCTAAAAAAAACACAAAAAGGTTCATCACCGGTATATACTTGGTCAATATATAGCAACGTAAGAGACTACTCCTATCACCTCCCTATATAAAGGCCTTGACATTAAGGGCACTTGTACGAGGACAGCCCTGAAACTTACCCTTAAGCGGGTCCCCCCTCCTCTGTATCTCTTACCGTGAATCTCCACAACGACAGCTCCAAAGGGAACGAGACAGAAAAAGAAAATAAAAAGAAAAAGAAAAAGAAAAGAAGAATCGAGCCTACCATTTTCACCAGGTGGTCTCTCTCTCTCTCTCTCTCTCTCTCGATGAATGCTGGTACGGTCCCGAGAATTTCGGATTCAATATTTTTGGCATTTTTTGTTGTAATTTTGAGTGGATTTCTTGATCATAAACCATAGAGTCTTGTTTTGCTTTACCTAGGGTTTGAAAATTAATATGATTGCTTGATTGTGTGTTCACTTAAAATTTGAATTTTGGGAAATTCTCGTGTTATTTTCTGGGTGGATTAAGAAGCGTTTGGGATGCTTAAAAGAATGTCACAAGCTTTGATTTTGGTATTTTCTTGGGATGATTACACAGCAAGAAATTGCTCTTACTGTTAGTCTTACTTTGTTATTGGGTCAAAACGCCAATGCCTTGTGTTAATTTGAGTTTGTGTATAAGTCAATGAGGTCGAAGAAGTGAGTGCTTAATTTTTAGTTCTTTAACTCGTAGACACTGTAGATCATTGCTGTTACCGTTAGATATTAGAGGTGCAGTTTTTAATTTTGGGATCAGTGGCTGTTGGTAATTGATATGGCAGAATTGGTTCTTAAAGCTCTAAATTTTAATTCATGGGCATTGTAGATGTTTTTGGTGTGTATAGCTACTGAGATTTTGAATATTTTTGGCTGATCCTTATGCAAATAAATGTTGGGTCCCTTTCCAGGGGCAGAAAAATATTTTAGTGCTTCAAATGCTTAAACAATTTGAGAGTTCTGATTTTCTTGGGATTTTAACTCTGTGGCTATGGCTGTGTTTGTATATGTTGGATTGGCATTGTACTTTTAGCTCTGTGTGTGTATGTTGAATTGATGCAGTATATTTATGAAGTCATAATGTTTTAATTGCCATAAAGTCTGTTTTTTGTTCTTCCCATTGCAGGTTAAGAGTTCTGCCTTAGCATTAACCTTCCCAGCTTGAATGTGGTGAATTATTGTGATTGAGAATAAGTTTTTGACCAGATGATTTACGGTTGATTCCAGATCATGGTTCTGGAGTGTTAAGTGGTTCCTGAAAGTTTAGCTCTTTTTACTGTTTTCTTTTGGGTTGGTTAGATTACTGCATCAGAAGTAGTGCATTTAGTCTTAGTAAAATGAATTTTTAAGGGGGAAAACCCTTTTGTAGACATGTGGTCCTATAATTGAATTACAGTTATGGCAGGAAATGAGAGATTTGAATTAGCTTCATCCAGTTCTGTGTGGGGTTTTACGGCCAATTATCCAGATGGGCCGAGGGGGAGTTTCTCTGGCCCAAATTTCGATAGGTCTGGTAGCTTCAAAGAGAGTGCTGAGAGCCGGATGTTTGGTTCTGGGATGGGCACGTCGCGGGGGAGTGGTTCACTGACTGGGGATTTGCCCCCATTTCGACAGAGTCTGATGCTGGAGCCGATTGTAATGGGTGAGCAAAAATACACACGATCAGGCGAGTTAAGGAGGGTTCTCGGCATTTCTGTTGGCTGTACCTCGGAAGACAATTCATTTGGAGCTACTCATCTCAAGCCTTCCCCAGCTGTGGCTATGGAGGTTCTGAAGCGTGTCAGAGCAAGTATTATAGATACCTCTATCAAAGCCAGGTCTTTAATCATTTTTCTTTCTATTCCTTTTGAGATACAAATATAATATTGAATGCTGAAGATATAAATTTTATGACCAGGGGTAGAACAAAGAAGTTGGAAGAACTCTTACACAACTTGGGCAAATATCACGAAGCTGTGACCTCTAAGAAGCAGAGGCGGAATGAGCTATTAAAAATCGAACGATCAGGTGGGTTGAACTTGAAGATGGGAATCCAGATTCAACGAACTTCGCCAGAACTTGTAACTCAGAAATTGGATGATCGGCCTAAGAATGTTGGTCTGAATAAGCGTGTACGCACATCAGTAGCAGAAACACGGGTTTGTAGTTGATATAATGCTGCAGTTTGATCTCTACTGACATTTTTGAAACTATCTTTAATTTTAGTTTTTCTAAAAAGAAGCTTCCCATTTTTGTATTCTGAACTTGTCCTTCCGTTATACTCACTACCTGCATTTCTGTAATATGTGATACACCACTTTTTGTATTATTGCAAGTTGGAAAGCACCGTGTTGTTTTTGATTTAGTTTTTGTTTTGACCCGCCATTATGTCAGACATTGTGTCCACCTTTGATTTGGTTATTGCTTTTGTAATGCTTTCGTTGTTGATAAAATTAATGTTTTTATCGAAAAAAAAGGAAGTGTCTTATATAGATGATGTATTAATCATTAAAGAAAACTGAACTTAAAAGTCATTTATTGAAATTTTAAAATGCCTTTTTTCTCATGTGTATAAAAAAAAAAATGAACGAACCAGTTTATGTGTTGTAATTCTTATAATCAAGAAAAGTATCACAATCAATCACCTCAGTTGTAAGACCAGTGCCACAAGGTATTCATTTTTCATGGGATATGCTGATGCTTTATCGTGGCTCAATCTTGTCAACCCATAGTTATCATACTTTGGTTGCTAAGAGTGTCATTTACTTGAGGTCCATCTCGTCACCTAGAAGGACTTGCTAGTACTCATGTTATTCCATATTATTTCAGGCAGAATGCCGAAGTAATAACTTATCAAGGCAGTCTCTGGTAATGACAAAAGACCGAGATATGCTTAGGGATTCTGGTACAGATTCTGATCTGATTGAAGAAAAAATTCGCAGACTGCCTGCAGGAGGGGAAGGGTGGGAAAGGAAAATGAAAAGGAAACGTTCAGTAGGCACAGTCACTACGAGATCTATTGATAGTGATGGGGAATTGAAACAAACTACACATCACAGGCTTAGCAGTGAACCTGGATTTCAATCTTGTGGTGGCCAGAGTTTCAGGTAAGTGTTTTATTGGAAGATAAGCTTTATTTTTATGTTAGTCATGTTCTGCTGTTTTTTAGCCTTCCTCTCTCCATTTTGCTTTAACCTTGAAAATAATTCTGAAGGGGATGATTGGTTTTTTTGGAAATCAGATGCTTTCTTCGTTAATATTAGGAAGTAATTTGAAATCAAATAAATAATGGTTCCATTTCCAACTCAGCTGTGTAAAAACATGCCCATGCTTTTTGAAAATGAATTTAGACTAAATCTTTACTGGGGTAGCTGCATTCGACTGATATAAAGTGGTATACTACTGCAGAACATAAAAGTAAGACACTGACCTGTTTGAACTTTTGTTGAAGCATTTAACATTAACCAGTATGTCATTTGCTGCAATTTTTTTTTTTGCAAGGGACGTAAATTTTATTAGATAAAGAAAAGATTACAATATTGTGGACAAGAAACGCATCTAATGAAAAACAGAAAGAAATGAAAAAAAAACTTGGAATATTTAAAGGTATTCATTTAACAACATGCCGGGGCCCAATATAGATTAAGGGGTGAAAAGTGCACGTCCTCAAAACTCGTTAGTAGCAGCCATCCAAAGGCAAGCCAAAAACTTTACTTTGTCCCAATTAAACTCCAAATATTCCTCCTTACCTTTGAAATTCTGTTGTTCCTTTCCATCTATATTGTCCAAATAATTGCCATAACCATACATTTCAACTAGATATAAGCTCTACATTCCTTCCCCAAAACACTATGATTAGCTCGAATGAAGAGACACTATGAAAACCTCTTGGAATTATCCAACTGAAGCTAAACTCTCCGTAAGCTTTTAGTACAATGGGTAAGTAGGTGACACACCGATGGCGTAGCCATAGAATGGTTGGACAAGTGTGACTGAATCTAGATGCCTAGGTGGATGGCTAAGAGTTTTGGTCCAAAGGGAAATGTACCGGGTAGATTTGTTAAGATTTTTATTTGTCATTTTTATTATTTATTATTTGAATTTTTAGTTAGATAGTATTTATCAGATTGAGATTAGTAGGGATAAGTTGGTAGAGTTTTAGTAATAGAGTAATTCATTTATGGTAGGACACTTGGTCTATAAATAAGGCTGGATTCTACATTATTAGTTAATATTAGTTTGAGAATTCTATGCGGAGATTTGTATTTCTTGACCAAATCCTTGCGAGGATTGGTTATCCCTTTTCTTTTCCCTCACTCTCTGCATCAATTGGTATCAGAGCACAACTCAGATCCATTAGTCTTTCTATTGCTTCCCCATTCTCTGGCTCCTGTTACTGTTCAGTAGCCCTTTCCTGTCATCACCATTATTATCATCTTTTTGCTGCTTCTCGGTGTCAGAATCCTTGCTGTTGTGTTGCTACTGCTGCAACAATTTGTTGGGTTTTTGCTGTGATCCTACTTCAAGCTTAGTCAGAACAATTAGTGTTGACATTGATCTTTAACCTTGGCTGCAGACCAGCAAGAGTTCTTGTGTCGTGGCCATAGACAGTTGTCACAGGTGTGTTTAAAGGCTTGACCTGGCATGTCTCAGGCTGTGTTGTTGCTGCCATCAGCGTCTACACTTCAACCCTTGCCATCTTCTGCTTCTTGTGCAGGTCTGTCGACGGCAAATAAAAACTAGGGTTTTAGATTGGCGAATCACTGCCTTGGTGCTGGAGAAGAATATGCTTCTGGACACCTTTTCCTTCTTCTTTAAATATTGAGCCCAGTTCCATTCCCCATATATTCCAAACTAGATTTAGCGCAGCCCTTTCAAAAAAAAAAAAAAAAAAAAAAGAAAGAAAGCCCTAGCCCCTAAAAACCCTTGACCAACCCATATCTTTTACTTAAAAGAACTTGCCACCTAGGCTTAACCCAGCCCATTCTGGAACTATCAGCAGCCCGACAAAATCTGGAATTTTTGAGGTTCCAGAAAGTACACTTTATTACCCCCGAGTTTCTAAAATTACAGTTTCACCCCTGAAAGTTTTAGACATTACATTTTGGCCCCAACAGTTTCTGAAATTTCAATTTCTACCCCCCAAAAGTTTTAGAAATCACACTTTGGCCCCAAAATTTTTAAAAATTAAGTTTTGGCCCCAAAATTTTTGAAAGTTTGATCTTAAAATTTTCTGCAACTTTTCAAGGCACCTCTTCCATCAAGATGGTTACTAATGTTGAACAAAGTGCTAGAGTTGAAGCACATGATTTGCGCTAGATTTGCTCCAAGCATTGATAAATTCTCTTCAAGTATCAATGCCTCAATGAAAGAAACGGTAGACATTTTACCTTCCCTAAAGGCAACTGTGGATGCCTTGGTGGCCCTTGCCCTATATCAGAAGGGCAAAAGAATTGAGAAAAATACCGATAATTGTTCATCATCTTCGGTCATCAATCCTCCACAAGTACTTGTACAAGCTCCTCTACCACGAGCTCAAATTCAAGAAGAACCTATTTCGTTTGATATCGATAGAGGAGTTAAGGTAGAAGTTGGATATTTTAACGGGGTTAATAATCTCGAAATATTCCTTGATTGGTTGCATAGCATTGAAAGCTTTTTCAGATGGTATCGTTTGACTGATGAGAGGAAGGTATTCTTTGTAGAATCAAAATTGAAAGGTAAAACAAGACTTTGGTGGGTAAAGTACCAACGAACTCACTGATGGGGACAAATGACAACAATTTTATAAAGTTTATAAAAGGCGAAGGAAAGATGCTTCCAAGACTCAAGCGTTAATTTGACACATATTGGATGTTGCGGAGCCTACTTGAGAGCTTGCATAAGCATAAAAAGAGTCTTATTTTAGTTTCTTTGATTTAGTTTGATAGTATTAGTGTTTTATGTTATTTTTTTATAATTTTTAGAGTGGGGATACATCTTACTGAATCCGAAAGGTCGACTATGACAAAAATGTAGTTATCCCCCCTCCTTTAAGAGATAGGGCAATCATCCTATGAAATCTATGGGTATGCTTTTCCCATTGCTAGGAAGGCATTGGGCAGATAAAGCCCCAACTTCGTCTTGGATGGCTTCGACATTCTGCATAGAGCACACACAACCCATCACCGCTGGACATCTGCTTCTATCCTGTAGTGGTGAATATTCTAGAATTTAAAGTCTTAATTCTAGTTAATTTTAGTTTTCTAATTTTTAGGGACCTAAAATTTTTGAAATCCTAATTTTTTGGGATTAGGAGTACTTAGAACTCTATATATAGTTAGTTATATTTTTAATAAAAAGAGGGGGAGTGATATTTCAGAAATTTTAGCAATTATATGTTTCTTGAGTTGTGTAATACAATTCTAACCCTTAGGTGTGATGCCTAAGGAACTCTAGGAGTAATTCCTTGTCAAAGTTATTATTCACGGGTACTGTTCATTGCATAATTATTGTTCACGAGTACTGTTCACAGCCTCAGAACAACCCCTATTTTTATGTTACAAATTTGTCCTACATCAGTATTGGTATCAGAGCCAAAAAATCCTATGTTATGCGACTTAAATATTGACATATGAGGATGGAGATACAAGATTTTGATGGAAAGAATGATATTACAATATTCTGTGATTGACTTTTTTTAATTAAGGAATACTTTGACTGGTATGATATTACGGACAACGGGAGAGTAAGATTTACTAAGATGGAATTTGTAGACTTGATAAAAGATTAGTGGACTGACGTGGAAGGGGATATAAGAAGATTAGGACAACCTCCTATAAGCACATGGCTAGAGATGAATGCAAAGCTTAGAGAGAAATGTATGCCTACTAATTATCATGATA